AAAGCCTCATCTTTCTCCCGCGGAGCGGCTGGTAGTTTCGAACCGCTGACCTTAAGGTTCGCAGCCCGATTCGTAACCACTACGCTACCAGAGGTTTCCCTAGTACTTTGTACTTTTCACCATCCTTGCACATGCTTCCAGGAGCACACATATCAGTGTCTCAAGTTATAGACTTGGGCCAGGAGCACACTGATTACTGAAGAACCAGCTGCCTGGAAAAACAACTCAAGAAACAAGTGTCTGGCTTTTTGAGGTAGTCCTCCAAGCATGTCTGCACTACTTTACAGAAGCCTCTGGCACAAGACCTTTTCTTCTTCAAGACCTTCTCACAGATGGTCCATCAGGAAGCACTCTAACAGATACTGCCATCCCTACCTTTATAAGTGAAACTCAGCATCACAGTCTAGTTTCTAACTGACGCTTTCTCTTCACCACTGCAGAGCTGAAGAATTTGCCGTCAGGATAGATGATGCCATGTTTTGATTAGTGTTGCTGTGCGCTTCAAACTCTGCTTTGGCTCCTTCCTTCTTCTCTTCTAGACTTCCTCCTAGTATTAAAGAATCTAGTACCAGAGACTGACCCACTCCCACTAAGATGTGTATTTACCCCTAGCACCAGCTATTGTGTTTTGAAGGTTAACTAAGTGAGAGGGAAACTTCATATTACAAAAGCATGAATGCTTGAATTTTAGACCCTAGTCAGACCAGGAGAACACAATTTCTACACAATAGGAATTGCTTTGGGTTTCTAGCTTGACTCGCTTTGTTTGTTCATTCACAGAAATCATAAAGAAACTATCTGCCTTTGAGGAGTGAGTTGAAACCTAAACCAGGAGATCCTTGGACAAGAAGTGAGAGAGGCATCTCTCTCGTCAGCTCTTCTAAGTTATTTGGTCTGCTGGGAGGCAGCACTTCTCTGCTACCAATAGAAAACAAATCCAGTCATAAATAGCACATCCCTCTCCAAATTTTATTTCCAAAATGCACCTCTGATGGTAACTATGGTAGAGAGTTAGCAAAAACTCTCCTATTCATGTCTGTTGGCAATGTGACTTTGCAGTAACTCCCATCAAGAAGTTGTTCTATTTCCCTATTGGGGAAATTGGGCCTGTCATGTGATGTCCTTGGCCAATAGAATCCAATAGAATTGCCAGTGTGTCAGTTCTGAATCAAAGCTTCAAGAAACCTTGCAACCATTTCATCCGACTCTCAGGAGCCTACCCAGGAATGAACAAGCCTGGCTAGCATGCTGGAGAATGAGAGACAATGTGGAACAGAGAAAATCAGTCCCAGCTGAGCCCTTACAAGGTCAACCAATCTAGCAGCTAGCTGAAGAACAACCATTCAACTGAGCCTAGTCCATTGGACCATTCACAAAATCAGCAAAATAAAGGAGTGTTGTCTTTAGCCACTATGTTTTAGGGCGGTTTGTACCAAATAGTAACCGAGTGTTGTGAGTTGCATCATGTTCTCCCAAAATGTGTTGTAAATTCTAACCCCTAAGGTCTGTGGTTCAAGCTCACCAGCTGTTCCTTGGAAACCCTGTACAGGGTCACTATGAGTTGGATCCAACTCCATGACACTTCTACTACTTGTGGAAGTAATCCCATTTAGGAATATACTTCTTTGTTATGTTAATGAGGATGTAGTAGTGTAGGATGTGTCTTAAACCTATAACTTTTGAGAGCTAAAAGAATCAGATCAGTGCAGAAGCCTGTAACACAAACTGGGGGAATGGGGGATTAATGCTTCCTGAAGATTAAGGAACCAAAGAAGAGAATTTGAAAAAGATGAATTTTCCCCTGAAGCGGACAGAGAGCACCTGCCCCTAGAGCTAGTACCCTGAATTCGGACATCTAGTCTCCTCTTCTGTAAGAAAATAACTTCTGTTCTTTAAAGCCATCTGCTTGTATTTCTGTTAAAGCAGCACTAAGAAGCTAAGACATTGTGCAGATTCTGTTCAGTCATTGCTTTTGCCAATGGAATGAAACACAAATCTTTCATTTAGGTATCTCAGACTCCAACCTGACTTTGTAGCTTGAGGTTCTCTTCCCTAGGTTTTGTTTAGGACATGCTAACCCCCTACCTCCATATGTGACATTTTATCACGGAACTCATCCGAAATCATTCAGTAACAAATGTGCTGGCCACTGTTTCAATTATTGAGCAAACAAGAGTAAAAGAAATCAATTTGGACTTTATATTGTAGTCATCTTCTCTGGGAAGCCAAATGATCAACCACCACCACCACCATTCTTTTTGTAATCTTTTACTTATCCTTAGTTTTTGAGTGTGTGAGTGCTTGGTTTGTTTTTGTTTTTTTAGCCTAAAGCATTTTTTTTTCTATAAATTAAAAATGTAGAAAAATAAACACAGACAGGTTGCACATTGAAGGTGACTCTTATTTAGAACTTATCATCAGGTTGTTGATGTTGATTTTAATTCATAGGAAGGGTTTCCATGGAGAAGTTGGTGGGTTTGACCCACTGACCTTGTGGTTAGCACGCCAGTGCTTACCCTTTAGCAACACACCAGGACTCTGATCATCAGGTACCACTTTGGATTTTCAGCTTCAAATCCCTTTGTGCCCTTATAGGAGTTATAATGCAAACTCTACTCTGTAAATTAGTTATTCATACTTTGGACAGAGGTAGATTTACTGGGAAACTAATAAAGCTTAATTTTCAGGGCTCCTCACTTGAACAGGCCCTGTACCTAATCCTTCCAACATTTATATATGAAAATTTTAGAATACACACATAGTAAAGCTGATAGAAATAATTATATTCTCAGTGCCAGTAGGCCTTCCACCTCAATTCTACAACGGACATTTTACTGTATTTTATCACATACCTACTCATGTTTCTTTCTCTCCACTGACTCATTATGATTTTTTAAATATTTAAAATGAAAATCACACTGACGGTCCACATTTTCTCAAGACCCCGCCATGCCCTCTGACCTCAATGAAACCTGTAACCTGCTCAGCACTGACAACTTCGAGGGTGACATGCTGACCCTTGGTATTAATTTTGCTATTAATAAGTTAGTGGTAATGTGAAGGGACCCCAGAAGAGAGTAAGACCCCCAATGTGATGGATTGACACAGTGGCAGCAGCAGTGACAAAAATGTAACAGCAGTTGTGAGGATGGCGCAGAAGTGGACAGTGTTTTGTGCATAGGCTTACTATTAGTCAGAACCGACTCATCAGTACCTGACAAGTTAGCCAAGCTGCTAAAGCCAGAGAAAGGAACGGAACACAATGGAGATTCTTTTACCATCTATCCATATCCATACATAGGTCAAAAAATGTTGCTTCGAGGGTTTCAGTTCATATATGCATGGGTTCATTTCAAGTAAAATGTGTTTAAACATGTCTCTGTGATCAGTGAATGGCTGTAAACAAGTTCTCTCAGTAATATGCTTGTCTTCGTTTCATTAGGGTGCCTTCCAAAACATGATGTCATCAAACAGTGGCCCATTTAATGCAAGGCAGAGACGTCAGCTCAGATGTTTGTGATTTTTTTTTTTTTTTTTGAGATCCCAAAGGAATAATGTGGATATATTTTCTTGAAGGACACAGGACAATTATGGGGGTTATTATGAAGAAGTTTTCAGGAAATTGGGAACAGCATTGGTGAGAAAAAGACTAGGAAAGTTGTACCAAGGAGTTGTTCTTTAGATAGCAGAGCATCTGCTCATTCTTCAAGGATAGCAAGGGCTGTCTAGGGGAATTTCTTTGGAAAATTTTACTCCACCCATCTTACAATACTGATACTGCTTATTCAAACTAGTTTTTGTTCCTCAAACTCAACATTTAAAAGGAACATAATTTGAGTACCTTGTACATGCCAAAACTGCTGTT